AGAATATCTCTAATTTTTATATAATAATGGGTCCTGTGATTCTATAAGTATTACTAAAATTTACTATTTAAGTTTTTTGAACTTCTTAAAATATGCCAATTTTCTTAGATTCTTAGGCTACAAAAAGTTAATACAATATCTAAATTAAGTTCTTTTTATGATTTAAAAATTGAAATAGTTAACTATACATAGCATTTATATTCAAATTTAATAATTTTTTTGCAATATTATAAAAAACAACTCTATCAATAATAGATAGTTCTTTTTTTTTAGTTTTTTAACTAGTTTTGACTTATTTAATTTTATAAACTCTAACTAAACTTCTATAACTAGCAATAGAAGTTTAAGTTTTATCTAAAATCAAAGTCTATTATCTTTATTTCAGATTACAACTCTAATTTTTTATTAATAATATTAGATTTATTTATTATTTTTTTTATTTATTACATACTTCTCATTTTTATTATATTTGTAGTTACAATAGTTTACTTTTTAATATTATTTATTGATCTTTTTTTTTACTAGATTTTTTATATTTTTTTTCTAATATATAATATTAAACAATATATTTCTTTTTATAATATTAATATTAAATAATATTTCTTTTAAAATAAAAGGTTTTTTATATATTTTTTTTATATATGTTTTGCTTTTGTTGGTTGGTTGCTATAATATAATTTACTAAAAGTTGTCATATCTACTTAACTAATACCTTGATTAATATATATTTTTACTTGAAATTATTAAATCTTATATAGATAAATATTATAATATTTAATAGTTATAATTTTTTTATTACTATAATTATCTTATTAAGATTATTAAAAAAAAAATGTTATGGTTATAAAAATTATTATTTTTCCTTTTAATCTACTTAAGAATATTTTACTAAATATTAAATAAATAGAAAGTTGATTGAATATATATGATTTAAAAATTTCTTAAACTTGGTAATATAAGTGTTTATCTTTTTAGTTTTAAGTTTAACAATATTGTTTAATTTAATATATTATTTATATTGCTTTTCTAAAGTAATAAAAAAAGTGTTCAACAAATAATAAAACTCTTATTTTGCTTATTATTATTCTTTTATTTATTTATATTAGTCTTATTTTTTTTATTTTATTACTAATTCTTTTTAATAATCAGAAATTATTAAGTTTTATTTTATCTATTCAGTTGTTTGCTTTTGTAATATATTAAAATCATTAAATTATTTAATTAGGTCTTCATTATTATTTTTATTAAACTTCTAATCTTTATATTATTTGTTTATTTGAATCTGAACTATTTCTTTTAATAATATCTTTGACTGTATCTTTGAAAAACTTAATTATATTTTTTATCAACTTTTTCAATTAAACAATGTTCATCATAGCAAGACTAAACTATGTGATAATTTTTTTAACATGTTTTTAGTATTAGGTTTCTATCTAATTTAAATAGATTTCTTAATTAATTAGCCTTTTTTTTTACTAATTTAATTTTTTAAATCAGAAAAAGAAAGGTAGCAAATATCATTTTAGTTTTTAGATCTTATAATTATTATCAAAAATATTATATTTAGAAAACTGTAACATATTCTCTTTATAGTCTAAAATCTTGTATAATATATAATAAGTAACTTTTACAAAAAAAAAGTATTAAAATTGTCCAATAAGTGATTAAATTTTTTTTTTTTTTTTTTTGATATTAAGGTGACCTCTTTGGTCTTTTGCTTTTATTAATCACTTATCAGTATTGTGGTTCAATGAACCACTACAGAAGAGTGTACAATTGGCTATACATGTAACTTTTCTATATTACCTATTTAAGGAGTCTACTCGAAGATTCCCTACCAATTATCATACTTAACACCCCTGCTTGGGTATTCCACTTTAAATCCTCTGAACCTGTAACTTGTATTAACATCACTGATCATCTCAGATGTACCAGATCATTATTCACAACCTTAGAACTAATTTATCCTTAAGATAAACCCCCCAAAAGCCTTCTGTACCCATTTTTATAGCTGACCTAGATATCGATATGACAGAATCAACACTTGCAGTCAGGGCTAACCATTAAACTGCTATGTGCTTGTAGAGTTCACTTAGACTCCAGCATCTACTTCACAGCATAACCTCAGTACTTTAGTATATCTCTGCCTTTTCCCCTACCCTTTTACCAAACTCCCAATCCAGATTGCCTGTGTAGGACTACGACCAGTTCATTGGTATATCACATCAGCCTGATATTCTTTTCCTCTAGTTCATTCTGGCAGCCTAGTTGGTAATACCTCCAGGACTCCCAACCCAGAGGTTCTTGACCATCCGGCTACTAGGACTAGATACTAGACCTGTATATTCATTTCCCAGGTCTAGCCTTTACAGTAAGGCTGTTGAAGATCCAGCTACCTCTCTACTCGGGTCTTCCCAAATGGACTTCTTGTTATTCAATTTCAACAGATTTACATGGCCACAAGGACTTATCTAGTGTTTGCACTGCCTGATTTGTCAGTTTGCATTTCTCTGTATAACTCCAATATTGCATGGATGCCTCATGACCTGCCAGTCATGCTGGTACAACTGCATTACAGATATTCTAACCCAATCGTTAGTAACAGTTGCCATAATATGAATATTACATAGGTGATTATCCAAATTTTCACTGTCGATAGGATTTTAACACCCAACTTACCACTTGGGAGGTTGACAACCTGACCACTTCACTAGGTCACCACACCCTCTTGATTAAAATTTTTAATTACTTAAAGTTAATGAAAACAAATAAGTTAAGTTATATAATTAAGAACTTGAATGAATAACAATATAATATAAGTTTATAAAGTTTATACTAAGCAGTATTAGATCCAATAATGTAATGGAATTATAATACTAAGGTTTTATGTGAAAATGAATATAATGATCAATTTCTTAATATGAAGATCAGCTAAAACAAAATGAGTTTTAGAGTTATTTTTTTAATGTAATTAGAGTTAATAGGTTATATAGAATATCAAAAATATAATTTATGCAGTATGATAATTATATATTGAATTAACTCTGCTTTAACCAACCTCTTAATATAGATATTCCAGCAATAAATTGCATTAATATAATTTATTAAATATATTAAGAAAATAAGATTTAATAGAAAAAAATGATTTAATAGTAAAAAAAGATTTAATAAGTATAAAGGTTTAGATGAATAAAATAATAAGTCAAATTAAATAAAAAAACATAGAAATAGAATTTATATAATTAAATAAGTCATAGTTAGAAAGATAATATAAATAAAGGCTAAAATAGCTCTTAGAAATAAAAATTTTTTATTTGCTTTATTAATAAACAAGTCCTAGTACATTGTATTGTCTATAATAAAACTCTAACACTATACACAGTATAAACCCCAATAACTACAGTTGTTTGTTCAAGTTCTTATTTATGTGACTTATTCTGTTAGATTTTGTTGAACCAAAGTAACTAAAAGTCTTAATCACCTAACAATCAAATCTAATACCTATTATACATTATGTAAGATTTTGAATTATGAAACAACTGAATAACAGTCTTCTGAACACAACAGTAGAGAGTTAATGTAATATTATAAATAATATATGATATTGAAACTTATTATTTAATAAAGCAAATAAAACACTATTCTTCTAAGGATCATTTTGAACTTTATTTATATTATTAACTTTCATCATTTACAAATGTGACTTTATGTCTTAAAACTACTTAGGCCATTCAAAGTATATTCTTCAGTTAACATCACCTTCCTCTTAGCTGAAGGTTCTCTTCAAAAAATGAACAACCAATCAAAACGTTGGATAACTCTCACCAATCTCTTGATTTATATCGACCAATCAAATTAACTCATATTTGTTCATTCTATATGTTCGTTTAATTTCATACCCCCTTCCCCTCTCTCTCTCAAGAGTTCTAAAAGTGATGCTAACCGAAAATTCAATTGCAAGCGACCTTAATGCTATTTACAATTATTTATTTAATTTTCTTAAGGATGTTTAATTTGTACGTAAATCCTTCTTTTATCCCCTATCTACCCCTCTGCATCCGAAATACCGTTTCCGATCACAAATATAATTAATTAAACTTATTCATTTTGTGCATTTTTCACGTGATCGTTACGATAGTCCGGTCTCACATTATCAACGCCTAGTTTCATAAAAAATTACTTGTCTGAGAATTGATTGACCGTAAAATAGACTTATCTGCAAATTGGTTGACGGTAAAACAAAGTGATACGAATCTGTGGAGAAAAGAATACATCATATAGTAAGATATTTTTGAGAGATGCCGTATATATGCTTATTACACGGGTCTATGTAACAACCCGTGCTTTTTTCAGACACCGTAAGATATTTATTGTATGGGTATATTGAATAACTCGGTTACGCTCAGGCTCATATTTAAATCCCGTGGCGAAGTCGAACCCGAGTGTATCTAGGATATTCACTAAATATCCAGAGGTTAGATCAGTAAGTATAATTAATCAATTATAAATTATTAGAACTTCGAATACAATTTACTGGACATCCAAATTGATTGTTTAATAACATATTGATATGTTTTTGGTTGGGCGTCTTATTCAATATTTTTAAAGTTCTCCAACCTTCACAGTAAAACAATTTACAAATTTAATTAATAATTAAAAAACGCTTGTTAGAAAAATAGAAGTATTTGTTCAAAACATGATTAAAGGTGAACTATAACTATATAAAATAAGTAGTCTGTTTAGAAAAATGATTTTAGATAAAAAAAAAAAATGCTTCTAAGCCCGTGGGTACCTTAACTGCAGGTTTTATGGGCTGAACTAGGATATTAAATTTTGAGCCCTAGGGTAAGTAAAGCTCAAAAGTTGAGCACTTATACAAACGGTGGGGCTAGAGTATTACTACTACCTTGCCCTACACTACACATGCAGATAAGCCTAATAAATATTATCCCCAACTACATACATCTAATTATATCGCTACTATCTATCTGCTGTATAAATTATGCATCCCTAGTTGAGAGATCATGGATGTTACTGTGTTTTCTTAAATATTCTATTGCTCCCATCACTGAATATTCATCACCTTTCAGATTCGCTATCTCAATTGAATTTTTATTGCAAGGACAGAAATTTGTGGAAAGTGAAATTTTTCCGTTTAGTCTTTTCCAGGCTGCAACATATGGCCTCCACTCTAAAGGCCATATACTAAGATCAATTGGATTTTGCAAAGCGATTTCTATAGAAACTTCATGTTTTTTTAGTTCTTCTTTAATAAACTCCCTTTCCATTTTTGCCCACAAACTATTGCCAGATAATAACTTTAACCAAATAAATCCCAATCTAGCGTCTAGCATATCCTGAACTATTGGAGGTTCAATGTCATTCGATTCAGGAGGAGATTTGTCCTTGATCCATTTTGTTATTAAGTCGTTTAATTTAGTGACTATGTTTGTGTCTGGAGGTAGAAGGTAAGCCGGGTACCAAATTTTGGACAAGAGATGAGATTTAGAGATATTCATAATACGTTTCTCATCTTCAGGAGATAATTTATTATTATTTATTTTTTGCATAGTTTCTTCAATATCCCTGGTCATTTTGGACCAAAAGTTTTTTTCAGGTTGTCCATATTTATCAACAGTGAAACCCAAATACTTAATGGATTGATTTTCTTTGAGTATCTTATAATCTTGATCACCTGGCAGCTCTATACTCATTGAATCATTTGTCAGAGGAACAAGTACAGATTTGTTTTTATTCACTTCTGCATTAGAAGCTTTTTCAAATTTTGTTATCAACCTAGAAACTATATCCCAGTCCTTGGGACGTCCTAACCCAATTGTTAAATCATCAGCGAAAGCTGATACATTAAACCTAAATTCATTTATTGTTAATCCGTTTATTTTTTTGACTAATAATCTAAGGAATGGTTCAAAAGCTAAAACGTATAATAGTGGGGAAATAGGATCTCCCTGCCTGACTCCTCTTTCTATTTTGAAAGCTGCAGATAGAACATTACGATCTAATATGTGTGCACTTTGATTTGAAAAAAGATTTCTTAAAAGATTTGTAAAAGGACGGTTAAACCTCATTTTTTCAAGGGTTAATAAGAGAAATTCATGGTTTACTCTATCAAAAGCTTTTTTTTGATCAATAAAGAATAACCAAACTTGTTTTGATCGATTTTTTTGTCTTTTCACGGATCTCATTGTTGAAATTACATTTAGGGCAGCATCATAAGTGGATCTATCGGCAACAAAACCATGCTGATGATTTCCTATTAAATCTTTGCATATTTGGTTTAATCTGCTTGCCATTATTTTTGTAAATATTTTGGCATCACAATTTATTAATGATATTGGTCTCCAATTACCGATATCATTTAGATCATCAGATTTTTTTGGAATTAAAATTATTGCACTTTTATACCAAGAAATTGGAAATGTACCCGTTTTCAAAATTAGATTAAAAATTTTACCCAAAATTGGAACAAGTTTTTCTTGAAATTGTTTATAAAATTCAAATGGTAATCCATCAATTCCTGGGGCTTTATCATTTTTAAGTTGAGATATTGTGTTGGAAATTTCCTCACAAGTAATAGGCTTTACCAATGAGTTATTTTGCTCTTCAGTTATGCTTGGTAAATTATTAGTTATTTTGCATGCAATATTTAAATTAATGGTATCTTTCTTAAAAAGTTCTTGATAATATGTTTTTATGTATGATAAAATTTTTATAGGGTCTTTTGATGTGGGATCCGACGGATTTCGGATATTTGATGTTGATTTTTCCTTTTTTTCACCCCACCCTGCTTTAATTAGATCATCTTGAATTTCACGGTCTTCTAAGTGAGAAAGGTCATTACTAACATCTGACCATGTTAGGTTAAAATCTGTCGACTTATTGTTTTGTTTAAAAGTTTTATGCTTGAAAGCGCAAAATACTGATTGAAGATTCTTCTTTAGGTAATCCCACTCTAAAACCGAGTTTACACTAGATATTTTATTATTTATACTTTCTTCAACTTCAGGGTCATTGAGCAAAGTTTTATTCAATTTCCAGATGACTGTTTCAAGAGTGCACACTACTAATGGTTTACTGAATTTGAAGTGGGTTACTACCTTTTGGCAAAAGTTTGTATAGTCATTATCTACAAAGATATAGTCAAACTTATTTGCTAATGGATAATTTTTTTGACGATAATTAATCAAGGAGTTTTTACCCACTAGTTTCACAACATTCGTAAAATCTGATAGTTGATTTAGTTTTTCACTGTAAACTGAGCCTACGCTCGTGTTGAACTCTCCAACTATGATATTAACGGAATTTTCATCTTTGCGTGGAACCCAATTATTAAAAAACTTTGATCTATCATCATTAAATGGAACGTATATATTTATTACTTTGAAAATCCTATTTTTGTGCACGAAACTTGCGGTAATTCCGTTTTCAACTTCTTCTACATTATCGAAATGAATATTTTTATTTCCAGCCAGAATCGCCGTTTTTGATGTCCAGTGTGATTCATGTTTCCAAATATTCTCCTTAATATATTCTATACTCTGTTTAGGTAAATAAGTTTCCTGAAAGTTAATGATGTCAAATTTATATTTTTTAAGTGTTTGTAAAATTTTCAAGATTTTCTTATTATCATTGCATCCTTCAACATTCAACGTTGCGATTCTAACAGTCATCGTTCAGTTTAACTTTAATTTGCTAATTGATTAATAGTTCAAAATTTTTAGTTGTCTGTAGATATTCCACAACTAATCTATTTATACAGCCGTAAATACTTTAAATTACGTGTTGTTATTATCCCCAAATACAGTAATTCCTGCGGATTGGCAGGTTGCGACTTCCAGATTTCCGGAGCAGGTACACATGATCTATACTAAGCCCCCAAAAATCTTATACCGCTTTTTTTGATTAAAAAAAAGGAGATTATATGCATTTATTTTGTTAATTGAATTTCATACTAAATATAAAGTTGTCGGAACTTGCTTTCATTTATTCTGTGATTTATTTTAAATTATTTGTATGCATTTGTTATTTAAAACGTTTATCAATGTAAAAAGACAGTTTCTAATTTTTCATCTTACATTTGCTAGAAAATGCTAGAATAGAATCTTGTAAATTATATTACCGAATGCAGAATTGTGAGAGGGAAGCTGAAAACTTTTTTCAATCATATAATATCGCTAGTAATTATCAAATGGTATTCGAATCAAGGTATAAAAGAATTGATTGTAGCTTGAGTTTATTCAGTTTAGTCATTTTAGTTCGAAGACCTTAGAAATTTTGGGGTATCATTTACTGAGTTATTAAATTTGTAAAGTTTTATGCGTGCGTAGTATTTTCAGAATTAAGATTTTCCATTAAGTTTTTCCATTAAGTTTTTCCATTAATGTTAATATTTGCCATTAACGTTAACAATGTAACAATGGCAAATCATATGACGATCACATTAAACTTATCAGAACGGAGTATTAATTTATGAAGCGTATCGGTATGGTTTTTCCGAGAAGTGCAACCTCTACACTGATGAAAATTTTTTCATATTACTGCCACAAATTTTATAAAATCCGAATCTGACATAATTTTAATAAAAAACTGCGGTAGTACTGTGAAGTTTTTCCATCAATGTTTACATAGTACGCCTGTACTTGCCGGTGTTACGAAAAATGATGTAATTTTTAACATTAAACTTTTTCTTGTGCAACTTTATAATAGTTTGGCTTATATTTAGATAATGATCGAATCTATTCCTTAACGATTATTTTATAGTTAGAGTCTAATAACATAGTAATTAGTTAGATCATAATAGTTTGTATAAAAGGAGGGATTCTTTCTTGTACTAGTTAGTGAAGAAGGATTTTTCTCTTGTCTTGGCCTATTGAAGTAAATTACGAGTTTTGTATTTAATGCTTGCGGCACTGAGTTAAATCTGGTTGGAAGATATAGAAGCTCTCCCTTGTCGTAACATCGGATAAATGGTCAACATGATACAGTGACTTCCATTTATTTTGCATCACCTGAAAATTTTTTTTTAAATTCATATATCTCCTGAAAATTAAATTATTTTGGAATGAAATTTTTTTATTTAATTTATCAATACCAAGTGTAAAAATGTAGGCAATTGAATCACATGATCACGCTCTATGTCATGATTTGTCTGTTACCCTCGATTACTAATTATCAGTTATAATCAGTAAAATATTGTAATTTGACCGTCATACACACAAATTTTTATATTTGAGTGCTGCAAAGGGAAAACTGTAATTGAGTTTTTCGAAATCGATTTTATAGAAACGGACTTATCAAACACATGATTCATTAAATAGATTTATCAGGAATCTGATCGAAAAGCTGAGTGTCATTGTTGTATTACATAGCACAGCAGTAAAAAAATTGGTCAATTTTATTTTTATATCACTATTCAAATTTTATAAGTTGCTTCAAATACTAAAGAACAAATCCACTTCAACTTTGAACTACTTTTTTTTTTACCGAATAAATGTAAGGAAGCATTTTTGACGTAAATATTCATACGAAATTTTAGATACGTCGATCATCTGACTATAATAGAAAATTTTAATAGGTGAAATATCGTGTGTCTGTTATACTAAATTCATAAATTTTTCAAAATAATGTTACTGGACAAATGCCTCATTAAAATATTTAATAATTTTAGAACTAATCATAGTTCTCCCAAAACGATAACGTTACCTAACGGATGCCTTATCGAAATATTTAATAATTTTCAACCTAATCATAATAATTTTCCAATTATAAAGTTATACTACTTCTGTTGGCTTTAATCTGTCCCATGGAGTCAAAATTTGCTTATAATTGAAGGATATTGTTTCTGCATAGATGAGGACATTATTTCAAAATAATAAACTTGTGACTGCTATCATATATTCTTTAGGTGCAATGTTTCTGAGAGCAAGTAACAACCTTAAATCCGTAACACTTGGCAATACTATTCATAAAACATTAGCAGACACAGTTTGCAAGAATACCACTCTGTCTTCTTTGAATCTTCAAGCTAATGGTCTTGGACCAGAATAAAGAAATGCATTAATCGATATACTTTGCAAGAACACTACGCTTACTTATTCGAATTTTAAATATAATCTTGGGTTAAAAGATGGAAAAATATTAGCAGATGAACTGTGTAAAAACTTCACGGTAACTTCTTTGATCTTAGCTTTAATGGTCTTGGATCAGGAGGAAAAGCACTGGATAAATCTTTATAGTAATGATCTTGGATCAGAAGGAGGAAAAGCATTAGCAAATGCATTTTACAAGAACACCACCTCAATGTCCTTAAATTTATGCAATAATGATCTTCAATCGGAAAGAAAAGCATTAGCAGATGTACTTTGCAAAAACATCGCACCGACTTCTTTGGATCTTGGTTGGAATAAGCTTAGATCAAAAGGAGGAAGAGCACTAGCAGCACTAGCAGATGCAATTTACAAGAATACCACGCCGAAATATTTGAATCTTCAATGGAATAATCTTAAATCAGAAGGAAGAAAAGCACTAGCTGATGCACTTTAAAAAAACACTTGCGCTGACTTCTTTAAATCTTTGTGGAAATTGTCTTGGATTATACGCCGAAAATGCATTAGAAGACGCACTTCGCAAGAACGCTACGTTGACTTCTTTGAATATTAATGATACTTATCCAGATTTTGCTTTAGTTGATGCGCTTCGTAAGAACACTACACTGACTTTAAATTTACATAATGGCATAAATCATAATAGTTGAGATTATTTAAAAGCATAAATAAGGCTGTTGAGATATATATCATTTATGTAACATAAATTTACATAAAATTTTCTGTTACAAAATAATCTTTTGAATATTATATTAATTTTAATAATTTTAATATAAAAAGAATTTAAGGGTAGATCATACAAATCTTTATTTAAAACGCTATGATTTTGGTAGAGAACTAAGATTTGACCAGTATGGAATGCTAACATTTAATTTAGATTAAAAATTTAAGTCAATTAAGTTATAATTATAAACAATATTATAATACATTCAGCGTTGATATTCTATCATTTCATTAATCAAATAACATATTTGATTAACAATTATAGATTATTTAAATTAAAAAATTCTTCATGTATAATAAAAAAATATTATTGTTCTACCTGCGAACCAAAATATTCTATTGACAAACTCTAAATACAATATTATCAATTACATTGTTATTGCTTATTTTTTTTTTCCTTTGCATACATCAGCTTTCATATATATGTATACATGACTTCTTTGAAAGTCAGAAATGAGATCTAGGTGGTTATATATATTCTCGCCAAGTTCTTCAACTAGTTTTTTTAATATAATCTGTATGATATTAAAAGGCTCTTCACCCAATGGCATTTTTTCTTTGACTTGATTCTCCCATTCAGGTGGTGCAGAAAGTAAAAATTCATTGAGATCTCTTAACAATTCATTGGGTCGAAGAATATGAGATTTTATATTATTTTTTACATATTTTGACAAGTGCTGTAAGTACTTCATTATAAATTCGGTGAATTTTATAATGACAGTAAGATCATCTACTTCCTGCAATTTTGTAAATGACGTTTTAAGAATGGATAGTAAAGCACTAAAGTATTAAATATTAATATTTTTTTTAATAAGATATATAGTAAAATACTGTAATTCAAATATATAATTTCTTGAATAAAATAATTTTTACCCGTAAATTAAATTCCGATTGCTATTTAAAAGCACTTTATTTATGGAAATTCTAAGCGCTTTTGATAAATGTTGACCTGTTTCTTGATTCTGAAGATTTGAATTCGACAACTGATATGTTAATTCTATTAGTAATCCTTCAAGTAAGTCTTGAGAGACAACTAATGCTAGTTTTTTATTCGAAAACAATAGATCTAGCGTGTTTATTAAACTCTTATATAGTTGTATATTTGGTTGTGATTGTAAATCAAGTTGTGTGTATGACGTCCTTATTTTATCAGTTAGGACATTAACAAGTTCAAATACGTATGAATTAGCGAATCCAGAAGAAATTTTCAACTGTTTATTCAACTGTTTCAATAATTTAATGCATTGTAGATAGTCAGAATTCATAATTTTAGATATGTCTACCTTCACCAAAGATAATGAGTCACATTCAGAAGTACTTTGCTTAGCTGGTGGTATTCCAGAAGAATTTGCTATTGTTAGATTCTTATTATTGTTAGGCATGGAATATTCCATATTCGTATTTTCCTTCTTGTTAGGATGAATTGCAAGAGATCCAGTTGGCTTAGGTAACATTGTCAGTTTATGATTTTTATTACCTTTTGAAATTGATTTTTGACCAAACTCTTTAATATCACTTTTTTTAGACGGAGACTCGGTATCATAGACCAGACAAATTGCATCATTTCTTTGTTTTACAGCACCTTTATGATCTCCATGCTTCTTTAACTTAAAATCGTGGTCAGCACTTTTAATGTTAGATCCTACATCTTCCTTATATTCTTGCAACTTGGACAAATTATTTTTGTCATCCACATCTTTATGAGTATTAGAGAGCAAAACTTGTAAGTCTTTCTGCAATAGAGCATATCTAGTAGCTAACAATTTCTCAACTGAAGAAATTCCAATAGCAGAAGCAAAACATTTTAAACAACCAATAGCATGTTCACGGACAATTGCATTTTTTTGAGTTTTCAAAACTTCAGTAACTGAATTAATAAATGTTGTTGCATATTTTTTGAAAGGACTACCCATAGCTGTTGCGATTTTACTACAAATGTCCAAAGATATAATCTGAAGATCTATGTTATTGTCAGAAAGACGTAATTTAAGAATTCGGGGAAGACCACCTATCAACAAATAAATTAATGTTTAATGTATTAATTCGGACGTGATAAATTGTTATAAGTGAAATAAATACCCAAATTCGGTCCTATTTTCTTGTTAGCATCTACAATTTTAAGAATTTTATTAAGGGCATTTATTCTTATCTTCAAATTTATATCAGTGGCTTCCTAAATTAATTTTTATAAAATAGTTATAATTCTAGAAAAAACTATATGAATAAAAAAAGTCGCTAATTATCATACTAACTTTCAGCAATTTACGAGTAAACTGTGCACTAATATCAGTCTTGGAAAGTTCTCCCATATTATTTTCACAACGTTCTGAGCTCGCTAATTCGGCCTGATTTAATGTCACAAATTTTAAATTAAAACTAGAAAATTATTAAAATAAGAATTCCATTAATTATCATACTAACAGTTATCATTTTGCAAGTAATCTGTGCACAAAAATCGACACTTTGGAATTTTTCAACAGTATTATTTCGATTATGTTCTGAATTCGCTATCTCGGCCTGATTAATTAAAAAAGAAAATTAGATGAAGCTGGATTACAATAGTAAATTTATTAAGCATCATACTAACAGTCGTCATTTTATAAGTAGATTTTGTATCAAAATCAACACCTTGAAACTTTTCTGCAGTGTCATTTTTCGAACTCGCTGCCTTTTCCTAATTTAACATTTAAAAAAATTAAATTAAAGCTGGAAAATTTGAGAATTAAAATCATTTGTTCTCGAATTAAACATGACTATATATGCTGGTAGAATTCAAAAATGGAAATTTTAACAATGAAAATGATTACGTACGTAGTAATCATTGTTAGAATTTCCATTTTTAAATTCTAATAACGATGGTAACCAATTGATCAACACTAATTAACCAATCAGGCACGTTAATTTAAGCCTAGTGTTCTGCAAAGTTTAAGTTTCAAATCAAATATTTGATCAAGTCAAATTTGATCAAGTTTGATTTGATGTTGCGAAACACTAAGTTTCAACCGAATTTTAACAGAGTTATGGCTGTTATCATACTAACGGCCATCATTTTGCAAGTTGCAAAATTAACACCCGAAAATTCTTCTATATTGCCATTTATATCATGTTTCGGACACTCTGTCTCAGTCTAATTTGAAAATTTTAATTAAATTTCACAAGTTTAAATACAATCAAACCTCTCTAAATGCTTTGTGGCGGGATTATACATATGCAAATTTAGACAAATATGCATTTAAGGAGTTAAAAACTATAAGTATTATATTAATTGGACAAAGTTAAGACATGCATTTAAGGGGCTACATTTAGGGTGATTGCATTTAGAGGGTCTGACTGTAATTCATTACTCGAGCTTTATATATACTAACCAAATTATCAAAGCCTAGATATTTAATGCTTGAATATAAAGTTTTTATATGTTGTACAAGTAATATAAAGTGGTTTTCAAGAAAAGTGACACGAGACTTCAGATCTATTATATATTCTTCATGAACGTTAGTTGTTGAAACTGGATTGGTGAAATTTTTTATCGCATCATTTTTATCAAGCTCTGAACTCTCCACCATTTCCTAAATTAATATTAAAAAGTAAATTAAATTAAAACCAGAAAACTAAGAACATTAAAACCATTAATTATTACGACCGATGCTGAAACTTGGCAAAGTTAATACTAACCAATAAACCAATGGAAACTATCTGATCAACATGATCAACAAGTCAGATACGTTAGTTTCAGTTTCGCCAAATTTTAGCATCAGTCATTGTTATTATCGTACTAACGGCCATCATTTTGCAAGTTGCAAAATCAACACTTAAAAGTTCTTCTATGTTGCCATTTCTATCAGTTTTTAAGCTCTCTATTTCATTCTTATTTATCATTAAAAAATAATAATTAAATCTTAAAATTTAAATAAGTTTTTAATGAAATTTTAGAAACTTAAATATATTATTCGAGCTTTACATACATTAGCACTATCAAGGTTCAGATGCCTGAAAATAGAATATAAAGATTCTATATGTTTCCCAAGAGAAATAATATGTTTTTCAAGAAAAGTGACACGAGAATCCACATCTATTACATCTTTCTCATGAATGTTGGTTGTTGAAGCTGGATTGGTGTAATTCGACGAATAAATTTTACGATCATAGAAGTTCATATTGAGAATATAGTAGGAATTGCAAATATTTCAAATGACGTATGTAAAAAAACAATCGCAAAATCCTCAAAGTACAAGCTTGGGAAAAAATTCTGGATATTATTATATTACCAATCATGAAAACATCGCCTTTAAAAAATTTTAAATAGCTATAATTTATCTGATATATATATATATGTATGTATTAGAATAAATCGAGGAATTTTTTTTTTTTAAAAAAAAAAATTTTTTAAATTAAAAATATGGTTTGTTGCAATTTCAATTCGGATGATCTAAGGAAGCTTTTATAAGGGGTTGCAGAATATCAGTATGAGTAACATGAGATGTATGCACAATAGTAAACAGTAATGTTACACATATATTAAAACTAATTGAATCTACCCGGCTAAACAGCCAATTATATACTGATTTGCGTAATTTAATCTGAGAACATAATTCCCTACCCTAATAAATATACAATAACGAATATAGGTATTTTTACATCATACTGATCTGTGAAATGCTTGGTATTTTTACACCATACATACGGATACTGATCTGCGAAATGCTTGATATTTTACACCTATATCGTACGGATCTGCTAATGCCTTGTATTTTACACCTATGCCGTACTGATTTGCGAATGACTTATATTTTGCACCTATACCATACTGATCTACGAAATATCTAATGCTTCAAATATAATCAACTAGTTTTGATTTTCAGAATCTTAACATATAGTGTTATTTTATGGTTGCCAGGTGAGACCATTTACGTGCGTAATGAAAGACAAACTTAAGTTAAAAAAGTAAAAGAAAGCCACAACAAAACGACGAAACTCAATGAAGCAGAAATTCCGATGAAATGCTATAGGGGGGAATAAACTATTGGCAAAATGAGAAACATCCTGGCCTTGAATTTCCAATAAATAATGAAGGGCTAACTTAAAATTTCAATGTGTTTTAATATCGGAGATATTATGATCTCATTTTGTCGGTTTTTTTTTATTCAAATAAAATTGGACCGATCCAGTGCGCAAATTTATTCTCTGATATAACCTGCTTTTAAAGATCGATTGGTCTTTAAAAAGCCGATCTTTTTAACCGTCTCACAGTTGTTCGGACTCGTCTTGAGACAAGGCTTTTTAACCGGCTTCATAGTTGTTACGGCCTAAACCGAAATTTTCTGCTGGAGCGAAACTTCCGAAACCTCCGAAACCTAGTTTCACCCAAGGTTCCAAGTCCGAAACTGGGCGAAACGTCCGAAACTGGGCGAAATCTGATCCATCTAATCAGCATTGTTAAACGGCCTACCAAAAGTCAAACTTATCACGTGACGAATACTGCGATAAAGGTCAGGGACGTGGAATAATATCGATTTGCATCGATCATATGTAAATCGATATTTTTAGGTGAAATCGTAGGTAAATCGATATTTTTAAAAAAATTTATGTCGTGTAACATCATATGGCCAGAATTATAATAATTCTGGCCGAGATTTAAAATTTTGAACAAGTGGTTATCAGTTATGATTATCATTTAACGTTTTTTTTAACGAAGTATGAAAGGGGTAATTTTCTGAGACATTTCAAGCAGAAGGCCACCATTTCGAACCTTTAATTGACACACAAAAGGGTTATATTAAAAAAACAGTATTTTTTTCAAATGCCGCCCAAATGTGTTACAGCATACTCTTGTGCGCAAGAATTTCCGAAGGACTTTGTGGCTGAATCTGGGTTTTTAATGTGCCGTTTCTTTTGCCACCCTGTGAATTGGAGAATCAAGGCAAATATTACGGCTCATATCAAGACAAGTGGGCATAAAGCAAAAAAAAATGCATCTATTATCAAAAGTCAAACAAGGCAACCTACTCTGGATTCTGTCATTGAACAAATGAATTAAGAAAGAACACAATCAATGATTTGATTTGTGCATTTATTCAAGCAGACATCTCTTTGGAAAAGGTGAATAAGCTTAGACCATGGTTAAATCAATACTTACATGAAGGTGGTAGTATTCCTTCAGCCAATACATTGCATCATATATACATTCCTGGTGTTTTTGAAAACTATTTAGTCATGCTCAAGGAATTTTTTCTAAAAAAAGGATTTTGAAGATAGTTGATGAAACTAATAATAGTCGAGCATGAAGTGTTTTTAATGGTTTATTTAATTAGCATAGTTTTACAAAATTAGTAGTTGTAGATTTCTTAGGAATAGTCAACAATTTGACAATTGAATAATTGGTGGTTCATATTTTGGTTGAATGGAATATTCTATTTGGCAATGTTCATTTAATTGCATCAGATTCTGCAGCATATATGAATAAGTGTGTTTGTGAAGTACTCAAGCCAATTATATTACAAATTTTGCATCAAACTTGTTTGGTATATATATTAAATTTGATTAGATAGTATAATAATAAAATTATTGATTATTTTTATGTAATGAATTAATTTTTTAATTTTATATTTAATTATGTTTAATGGAGCATAGGTATTAATTGAGCATTTTATTATAGTTTACACATTATTAACTGAAATTAAAAAACATTGGTCCTTGTAAAGAATTAATATATAAGATACATAAATTTTTTATACCAAAATTGAATTTTGCAATCAACTAATATTCTACTATTTCTCCTTTACTTATAATTAATTTACAACAACTATTTTCTATTTTTGAAACATGTTAATTTTTTAATAACCTTCAGACTATTACTAACTTAAATTATAATTTATCATCTATTTTATTTTATACTAACAGTCCTGTTATTGATCTTGGTACCTCACAGTGCTCTATGGGCATAGGTTGGGTTCAAGTTGATAATTCTACAATTATTAACTCATTTTTTGGCATAAATTAAACTTTGATTATATTCTTTCAAAATTAAAATTTTTGCTATTTCTTAGCAATTATTATTGCTTCTAGACATTACTTGTCTATATATTTATTGACTCATAATTAGTAATCTTCAAATATCATAATATTTGTCAAGTAACATCTATTTTTTCTTATATTTATACTTCATATTTCTTTATCTGATAAATACTCATTAACTTTATTAAATTTTATAAAATTCAACTTATTTTTTATAAAATTATTACATACCAAGATGACCTATTTAACAACCTTGTTGATCAATTTACTTATAATCACTAAATATTATCTTACTTAACATTCTTAACTAATAATTCTTATAACCTTAATTATATTATTTTTATCGATGAATTTCTTATTAAAATTTCTATCTGATACTCTATATGAATTATATACTAAGCCTACATTATAATATTTTGAACATCTTAACATTATTTTTCAAAATAGTCTATTATTATATCTGACATTAACTAGGAATCTACATGGCTTTATATCAACAACAATTAAAAAATTTCTAATTGTATTTACAGTTTTTACTTATCTATTTTGAAAACTTTTTGAATTAAAATTCTTTAGATAAACTTTCTATTTTTTATATTCTTTATAAATATAATTCTTTACTTTCTTTCTCTTGTCATCAATGCAACCAAATTAGTTCTTCATTTTATTGAAATATCTGTTTATTAATTCAAACAATTTATTATTTAATCTTTAATTCTCTTAATAATATTTTAAATACAATTACTCTTGATATGTCTGTCAATCTTGTTTTTGATTTATATACTGAAATTCTCATACTTAACAGTTTTAAACTATATTTTATATATTTCTTCTCTTATTTCTATTATATTTGGTTTAGTTCCTATTGATCTTATTTCTATTATTCACAATGCTTCTATTTTTTATCATACTACTATTATTCTTTTTATTAAATTTTTCTTTACTTAAACTAACAAATATATAAACAAATATAGATCCTATACTGTATTTCACATTTTGTACAGTCTCAAATTATATTTTCTACTAATTCAACTTTTAGTTATTTTCCTAGTTTATCTTTACCTTCTATTTTAATATCACAAATTATTACTAAAATTAATCTTTAAACTATCTAATAGATTAATATCATACTCTTCTCTCTTATATTATTACTCAAACTCAAATCTAGGTAAGCTTTGATCATTCTTGTAAGTTTAGATTATAAATTATATGTTTGAGTCTTTATTCTTTATATGTAATTTAAAAACAAGCTTTTCTTTATAACAATTTCAATTGAATTTCAATAAAATTAAAGACATAATCTCATTATTAATATTTAAAAAAAAAATATATATTTCACTACCTAATGTAATGCAATAGAATTTATAATATAAGATGCCCTTTTATATAGAAAAATATTTGTAATTAATTCAAAATTTTTATAATTAAGAGAATAATGAAAATACTTAATTATTAATTAAAAAAATTATAAAAATCTTTACCAATTAATAAGATTACAGATATATATATATATATTTGGTATTTATTTATTTTTTTATTTTTTATTTTTTTT